ATTCCTGCGACCATCTCGACTAACTTTCCGTATATACTTTCCTTTTCTTCTCTCTCTCTCTCTCTCTCTCTCTCTCTCTCTGTTCGATCAGATTCATATTGACGAAAAATAACTCGTAGTAATTTAAGTTTCATTTACTTACGAGCTGCTCCGAGTAGCTCGAAATTCGATTATTCGCTCGGTTTGCTCTGTTATCTACATATTCATATCCGTATTACGTAACGTATACGTTTTATTAACGAAGTATTCATGGAAATTATAGTACGCGTATTCCGCCAACATACCGCGAAGGATCGAAAACCGTGGAGAATATTGATTCGACCTCTCTCCGGCGTCCGCTCATTTTCACTTGCAATCTCGTAGCGTGGAATTTTCTGTAGCTCGACGCTCAGAATAATCTCGCGAGTTATCGATCCGTGAAACTAATTCACGGAAAGAAGACGAAGAAGAAGAAAAGGAAGAAAGAGAAAAAAAAATAGGAAAGACGGAAAGAAAATCGTGGAAGTAGAGAGCCGAGAGTCCCAGGGAATTCGTATTCCTATTGCCTATTTCTACGATATATCAAAGTGGAAAGGGGAAGCGGTAATCGCGAGGTAAGACAAGGGGGAAAACGTTTCGGGGGAGCATTTAGAAGTAGTACGAGTCGAAGGGTGAGAAGCTCTTCCGGGACCGAGAGAACGATCTCTCCAAGGGCAGAGCACAGGAATGGTGAATTTTACACACAGAGAAACGCGAAAACGCTCCACTCTTTCCACCTTCGTTCTCTGTCTTTCATTTTCCCTTCTTTTTTTCTTTTCCTCCTCATCCCTCCTATTTCCATCCCGTTCCACCGTTGGCTTTCTCGGTTCCGAGCCCCTCGAATTACAGAAAGCCTTTATTATCGACGCATAGAAACGCTCGCTCTGTCTGTGCACACAACGGAAATTGCTTGAGAACGCTCGAATATCATCTTCGCGACGGAGAGTTTAATTGGCTAAAGTCACTTCTGCCCCCTCGACAACAGCTGACCTCGGCAAAGATATGAAAATGGACCCCGATGCCTCGAAAATAAATGCTTTTTATATTTCCCTTTGCTCAACCATACTTTCATCGAACGATGATCGAGTAATTTTTTTTTTTTTCCCCCCATTATTAACGATACGCGAAATGCAATCGCGATAATGATCAAGAATGAATTATAGTTAGTTAACGAATCAATTCCGTTGGTAATAATTATTAACAGCATGGAAATTGATGTAACGAAGAGGGGGGAAAGAGGTTCTTAACCGCAAGAGATAGGTGCATGGTTAAAAACAATTGAGAAACTTATTGCGCACTCACATCGCGAATCGTTTCTATGATACGATCGCTGATCGTATTCAATAAATCGCGACGCTAATGCATACTGTCACAAAGCAACGAGATGCTAACGAGAAGTTGTAACGCAAGTTTGAATGACAAAAAGTAATTGCTAACTTTATCGATAAGAATTTATGCGAGTTTGTGTCTCCGATGAATTTTGTTTAATCGTAACAATTGATATTCAATCAGAATGAACGAGAGCGTATTATTTTCGAGCTTCAAACGATTCTTTGTACAAAAATCGTAGTGTCTGCTTCCTCTTTTCTCTTCTTTTTAAAAATGAAAACATGGAAAGGATAGTTGAAAGAAAAGTAGCAGCTCACGCACGAAATATCAATAGTCTCTGAGCATGGATGTTTTTTTAAGAGTCTATACATACGCGTTCGCCACGCCACGCAACACTTGCGTCGAGATAATAAACTAACCATTCTATATTTTATTCTTAAACTCGCGATAAAATTTTTACCTGGAAAATTTATTAATTTTAAATTAGACATGTATACGTTCCAAACGAATTATATCTTGTTCGGGATGTTTTTTTGAATACGCACTCTGGTGCAACCTAAACTGGTTAGTTTACAACCAAGAACATAGTAGCGTGTAATTGTCTGGAAATTATGGAATGGAAACTTTTGGAACAAAGTTTCTAACCCGACATCGGTTTGCCTTTTGTCGCGAATGCGGACGGATCTGCACTTTGACGCACAAACTCCCTCGCTTTGAATGGAAAAGAATGTGAAACGCAGGGGTGGTAGTAGGCAGCCGGGATCCGAGCGAGGAATTGACGGCTAATTTTCGTTAAAAAGCGGTGAATAGTGTAGGTCGCAGTAGCAGCAACGATAGGGCTTCGAAGAATGGACGAACGGAGGAATGAGAGGAACGGTGGAACAGAGGGAAATGGGGAAACGGTTGAATATCGGGGAAACGGTTATACGTTTAATGAAAAACCGTGTGGCTGCATCGCGTGCACATCCCGTAACTGTATTATCTTGCAAGTTTATTCATCCGGCGGTAGTGGAGAAAACAGTTCGCATTCCCGGTTTAATTCGCGATATCACGACCGTGGTGCATTCAGAATGGCTAATTAATCGAGCTAATAATTAAAATGTGTACGTATCTCGCGCCCGCGTCACCGGCAAACTTTTCTATTCGACTTTGTCAACAAATGTTTTATGATATGAGATCTATTACAATAATCATTTATTTGAAAAAGTGTTTGTATTAAATTTCCGAACTGTGTTATTGCTTTAAGAATATTTTTTAATGTTAAAATCCGATTGATTATTCGCGCGTCTTGTGATATTTGTAGAAGAAAATACAATTTATATGCAAATTAATGGAACTCACCTGTCGATAAAACCATCTCCGTCGCCGTCGCATGCTTGAAACAGCTTCCTGACGCGTTCCTCGTCGCAGATGGAGCCTGCTTCACTTTCAGCATCCGCAGTTTGTGACATTTTCACTTTATCTTTTGTTTATCCATTGTAACGAATTATCAGCACACTATACCGCTGTTTCGTGTCCATCTTTTCTTACGTTTTCTCCTTGTCACGTTCAGAAATTGGTTATAACGCTACTCGCATCTCGAGCTTTTTTCGTTGTACAGGTACATCCTTCAAAACACAATTATCGTATTAAAATCAATCGTAAAACTTTCGAATTTCGACAACGAGATGTTCCTGAGTCTTTGAACTCGCGTCAAACACATAAGACCAACACGATGGATCGTTAAGTCACGTGTTGCATCGCGATTCATTAATCGATTTCGAGAGATGTATACTCGAACCATCGACCGCCTCCGCAATCACGTTCGAGGAATGAAAAGGTCTACGAACCTCAGTGGAAGCAACGGCTATTTTTAGACCGCTTAAAGCATGTAGATTCCCTTGTTCCAGAAGACTTTACTGATACATAAGGTATAAACAGATCAACTACAAGAGCGCGTATCATTCTCTCGCTAATGTATTTTTAACGCACGAATTTCTTTAAAATTTTACAACACAACTTCACGCAGGTGTTTGTCTTGTCACTGAATCGTCGAAAAGGATAAGACAGTTTCGTTTTTTCCGTGTCGTCGTGCACACATGAGAACTTGTAACCGCCGTTTCCAGTGTCACTGAGTCACTAACCCTAACCTCAAAACTGGACTCGAGACCCGAGACTCACCCACCCTTGCGAGACGTATAGCGGCAATAAAAACTATCGATTGAGCGTTGCGCGGTCAAAAAACTTTGACAGCTCGCGCCATCTTGAAATTTTCGTACGATGAAAACAAAGATGGCGACCATAGTAGTGAGCCGGCAAACGGCATGTTCCAGTTTCACCGTCAGATGTCACCACACGAGGTGACGAATCTTTCAGTAAACGAATAATTTAAAAAATTACGTAAACGTAAAGACGAGAGAAATATCAAAAATAAATTATGTTTATTACCAATATTTTTGAAGAAAAATACAGCTAAATTTTTTTGTACATATATAAGGTAACTTAAGAATAGTATAAATTTCACATACGTATTTATATTAATGTAATATTTATAATAACGTTTACGATTTCAATTTTTCAGCCAATGTAGGCAAAAGTTTTTTCAGTTTACCTGCATCATGACTATAAGCCCACATTATACACCGAATATGTCCTTCGGTGGGTAAACCTTCAAGCTCACCATCCGTTTGGAACCATTTTTTTTGTTCTTTGACACGATCTACAACATTTTGAAGATTCTTATTCCTCTCTATATCCCAGGTAATACTCGAATCTGGAACTTGAACGTTTCTCAGTTTCTTATAATCTCCGTCCACTTCTTCGTACGCTCTGTAGAGTATATAGAAAAAATAATTTTCGGTAAAAATTTTAATAACAATCATCCCAATGAAAATTGACTTACTTAAGAAATCCATTATCCTCGATTTCGTATTTGTCCGCCAACGGCTTGTAAGATCGTACCAAATCGATGGATAAATAATCGAAATTCATCTTTGCCCGGCCATTCACTTTGAAATCCGTGATCCAATTGTCGAACACTTCTATAGCTTCTTTTATGTTCTTGAGCTTTTGCTCGTCCTTTGTGCACGATATCACCCGTTCAGCCCTTTTCACAAGGCCAGAGATCGCGTGGTACTGATAATTTAGGTCCCTACCTTCCAGTAACTTGATAGTCTGCAAAGCCTTCTCTTTATCTTTAAAACCGAGTCCGCTCTCCTCTTTTTCAGTCTTTTCCTCGTCGGTCGATCGTCTCGATTTTTTCTCCGGTTCCTCATTCTCGTCGTCATCGCTGGACGAGCTATCGTGCTTCCTCTTCACAGCCTTGCCCTTGACATCCTCGTCGATCTCCATATCTTCTTTATTCTCAGATCCAAACTTTTCCTCCACCTGAGCTACGAGTTTCTTCAATTTGCTCGGTTCTGGACTGTAGCCCAACATGATGCACTGTACATGTTCTTTAGTTGGAAGCCCCCGAAAATCACCAACGTCGGTTTCGAACCATTGTACGTGGTCTTGTTTGATCTTATCGATAATTTTCTTCAAGTTTCGATTTCTCTCAATGTCCCAAGTGGTCTCTCCGCTCGGAATTTTAACCGAACGTAGACCCTTGTAGTCGCCTTTCTCTTTCTTGTACGCGCTGAAACAAACGAAACGATCATTCGATTCGAAGGGAAAATTTACTCGCGGGGAAAAGAATAATAAAAATCTAGTATACTAATAGTTACTTATAGAATTCTTCCTCCAGAACGTCGTACTTTTTGGCAAGGCTCTTGAAGCCTTTTATAGTCTCGATTGGCAAGTAAGCGAGGTTTTCTTTACTGCGATTGTTCTCTTTGTAGTTAGCGAGCCAATCCTCGAACACTTTCAAAGCTTCTCGTATATTGGCCAGTTTTTCCTCGTCCCTTGTAATCTGCAGCGTTCTTTTCGCGCGGCTCACAAAACTAGCAATCACATGGTACTGATAACTGATATCTCGACCGTCCAGAGCTTTCAACGTGTCCAATGCCTTTTGCTTATCCTTGAAACCCATCACGGATTCTTCCGGCTCCGTTGATTTGCTTCTCCCCATTGCTAAAATTAAATACGTTCGTTGTTACGCACGATTGAAGATTCATACGAGATCGCGTGCATCGTGTTACACGCACGTGAGTTGCGGCGCAAATTTGCGTGATCGATTAATAACTGAATATTAATAAGTTAATTCTTTAGAAAAAAAAATAGAGATAGGCAAGCACTCGATAACCGTATGACGCCAGAATGTCAATTTTATCGTTGACGTAGCTGCTGGGCTATGGAAGGATCAATAAACAGACAATTGATTAAATTATACGTATATTTGCCAATCTTTATAATGATATGATTTCGTTCATCTAAATGTTAATAAAAAAAAAAAGAAGAGCATACGTTATCAAGATTTTCGAAAAAAAAATTAACGAAACGAGAAGGAGAAACTTTGACAAATACTCACCAATTTGCAACGCAAGATCCCGTTTGCCGACGATAATACGATCAATTTGATTAAACCACCGATATTGTTTTCAATTCACAGGTGTAACGATATCAAGAGGCTGGATAGACTGTTCTTCCGTAATTGTATGACTGACAGCAGTTAGGCAGGTTTTTACCGGGAGCCGGCTCGGCCTGATGTTCACCAATGATACATTTGCTCGTGGTGGAAAAAGGATGGGCGAGTTGGGAGTCGGCGGAAAAGAGAGGGGTCGACGTAAACATATCTACTATGTGTCACAGCCCGAAATACGCATTCGACCTCAGTCCATGGTCTTGGGCTTACGTCACTAACCGCTAATACATTCGCGAAAAGGATCAACATGGAAAGTTGATTGAAAGTGTATCGACGTTCAAGTATTATTTTTCTATGTCATTAAGTCACACTCGCATAATCGCTTATAATTATTAATCCATCGATAAATCTTTACATATCGGTATGAACATTCTCGAACATTCTTTTAGCGATAATTCTTGCGATTCATTTCACTCGATGATGACATAGGAAGATAAACTTGGTAATGACGCTGTTTAGAAGAATATTCCCTCCGTTGAGATTGTTTCAATAGATTTATTCGATATTTACAGAAGTTACAGAAGTATCCTGACGAACTACTCGGACACGGCCATGTGTCACAACGATCACAAGCGATTGGATCTCCCTACGGGGCGGGGGAGGGAGGAGGGGGAGGGGAGAAAGGGGAGGGGAGAAAGGGGAGGGGTACTTACTCGATTTTTCGAACGATTCGTAACGCCTTCAAGTTTCTCTATTTACAAGATTCATCGGCACCCGCGATTCAAGTCTGGATCGGTTACAATTATCGATGATCGCGCAACAACAATTCGACGACGCTTCACGTTTCAAGGAAATCAAATTATTTGCTTTGTGCTTTCTAATTTTTCTGAATGAATTAGAATCCACGGTGCGATCATGGATAAACGCATGCCTGGTCGAAATTCAAATTACGCGTTCCATTCAACATCTGCACGCGTTATACACAAGCCATGTTCTACAAATGTAGAACGCGTACGGAATACGGGGCGATCTATGACTAGATATTTACTTGGAAAAGTCGAAAAGGCGACGACTTTCCGTCTTTCGGTAAGGTGGGAATAGATTCAGCAGACGCAGCTACCCACACCGAGGCAGGCGTAAGAAGTTTGCTCGATCTTCGAGCTGGTGGTGGTAGCGTCTAGCAAGGTTGGCTGGGAGAGCGTAGAAGCGGCCGGTAATTGCGATCTCTGCACTCCGTCGTATAAAATCGATGACGTCTCTCGTTCTCTGCTGATACCTTCCGTTGTTTCCTGCGTGTACGGGATCCTCGCCAGTTCTTGGCTCCTCGACTCGGTCGGAGCGTCGTGGGACGACAAACGACCGTAGTTCAGGAAGGTCTCTGCGTAACTAGATGGCGGATGATGATGGGTGCTGTTGTACTCGTGCGAATAATGAGAATGGTATCTATTCGATGGCGCTTTGAAACCCTCGTTTCCGCCGAGATATTGGTGCAGATGATGCAAACTCGATGGTCCGTATACTACGTTCGTTCGAATCCGATAATTTAATCGTTAAAAAATTATTTGCTTTGTGCTTTCTAATTTTTCTGAATGAATTAGAATCCACGGTGCGATCATGGATAAACGCATGCCTGGTCGAAATTCAAATTACGCGTTCCATTCAACATCTGCACGCGTTATACACAAGCCATGTTCTACAAATGTAGAACGCGTACGGAATACGGGGCGATCTATGACTAGATATTTACTTGGAAAAGTCGAAAAGGCGACGACTTTCCGTCTTTCGGTAAGGTGGGAATAGATTCAGCAGACGCAGCTACCCACACCGAGGCAGGCGTAAGAAGTTTGCTCGATCTTCGAGCTGGTGGTGGTAGCGTCTAGCAAGGTTGGCTGGGAGAGCGTAGAAGCGGCCGGTAATTGCGATCTCTGCACTCCGTCGTATAAAATCGATGACGTCTCTCGTTCTCTGCTGATACCTTCCGTTGTTTCCTGCGTGTACGGGATCCTCGCCAGTTCTTGGCTCCTCGACTCGGTCGGAGCGTCGTGGGACGACAAACGACCGTAGTTCAGGAAGGTCTCTGCGTAACTAGATGGCGGATGATGATGGGTGCTGTTGTACTCGTGCGAATAATGAGAATGGTATCTATTCGATGGCGCTTTGAAACCCTCGTTTCCGCCGAGATATTGGTGCAGATGATGCAAACTCGATGGTCCGTATACTACGTTCGTTCGAATCCGATAATTTAATCGTTAAAAACGATTTATTATTAAAAATTTAATCGTTCTTTGTAAAAGAAGTTAGAAATATTTTTGTAATATAAGATACTGACCTGCTGCTGTGTTCGAGTACATAGCAAGAACCGCATCGCCGTAGCCGGCGGTAGGATGTTTCGATAGATCGGACACATCGTTCGACGACGATATTTTTCCGGATATCGACTGGCTTCGAACACCATTTTGCACTTCGCTGCCCGGAAGCCCGGATGATCCCGCGGATCCGTACGCCATGTTGAAAAGCGCTTCCGGATCACAGACGAATTTGTAAACGTATCTTTCTCCCGCCACCTTCTGCATTATCCCTTTCTCGTAATAGTACCTCAACGATCTGCTCAATTTGTCATAATTCATCGCCGGTCGATTCTTCTGAACACCCCATCTACGAGCCACCTGAATCGAATGAAAGAAAGAAAGAAGAAAAAAAAATACCACTTTATATCGCCATTGTGATACGATCTTATATATATATATATACCTCTTCCGGTTCGATGAGCTTGAACTCCATACCGCGACCGGTCCACGCGATGCAAGGTGCGTTCGCTGGATCGTCCAGCAAGGTGACCAAAAATTGCCACAACTGCAGAGAGCCGCGGCGTTGCTGCTGATATCCAACCGACATCTCGCTCCAAGGTGACACCCCTGTCGTCGAGGATGGTCTCTTGCCAGCGTAATCCGCGTTCCACGAGGTGGGAGAGCCTTTCTTCTGGTAACAGTTACTCTGTCTCTCCCACGACGTATTCCTACTGTCCAACTGAACCCCTAGCTCGGTCCACGTGGGAGTCACGCTTCTCTTCCCGTATACCTCCGAACTCCAATTCTCTTGTCGCGGGAAGAAAGCTTCACCCGAGGCGGGAACCGCGGACTGCCATTGGGAAGCGGCGGACGAGGTGCTGGCTGGTCGACTTGGCGATGGAGAGCCTCTGGCGTTCCCGTATTGCGGCTGGTAAACCATGCTGCTGTTACCTACGCGTATTTATTTATCATTTAAAATTTAATTCGATCTTCGAAAATAACGAAATAATCTAATTTTCCTCGTCCGAGGAAGGAGGGAGAGGACGGAGGGTGAAAGAGCGGAATGGACGAGAGCGAAGACAGGGCGGATCGGAGGCGCGAAAAAGAAGGAAACTCGAGCGATGTATTAGCGATTGCACTCACGCGCGGTCGCCGGTGAAGTGCTCGTCACACAAATATCGGCAGGAAATTGGTTGATATTCAAAGCCCACGGGGTTGGCGGAGCATGGCGGAGCTCGCGGATAGCTGCACCGCCTGAAATACCGCGCGGAGCTCGCGCGATATGTATATTAATCGGGTGCTCTCCTCACAGGGAGAGCCAGCCACCGCCGGCATCCCACCGATCCCGTGGTCCCTCGAGCCGAAAAAGCTATTCTCGAACCGTAATCCGGTTACGCTCCAAGTCGTGTACGGGGAATATTGAAAAATTGAGAGCCCTCTTCCCGATACCGAGCCCCCGTCAACGCGGCGCTTGCTTGCCACCCGTCGTGCATCCTCATCTTTTTGCCATCGTCCATTAAAAATCGAGCGTTCGTTCCGTGGAAAAGGGAGGAGCGCGATTTCCAAGGATCATATTGCGCTTGTTCCGCAATATAAACTGCAAACCGAGCTGGTATTCGTATTTCGTATTAATGGGAAATCTTTAATCATCGAGGATGGGATGAAAGAAAGTTAATCGTGTCGTGTCAACGTTAGCTTAGGTCGGTTAGGTTTCTAGTGGCGGGTGAACATTGGTCGGTTCGCGATCTCGCGTAGACGAGGCGGGAAGCTGAGAGGGGGTTGAAAGCTGCGGGCCAATCTGGCACTCACTCTCCGAAGAGGGGCGAAAGGGGCTCGAGCTCGGCGTGCAAGCGGGGCCAGAGGCTTTGCGGGTAGTTTTAGATTAAAATTAATCGCGAGCTGATGAAACCGGTGGCGATGTAGCAAGCAGGAAAAGGGTTGGTGAACCAGGCTGGTCAGGGGCGGTGCGCGCAAGGGTTGCACGGAAAAGAGGACGGCCTCCACTCGTCCACTCTCAGACGAGAAGCTTTCGTTCTTTCTTCTCTTTCCCTCTTTCCCTCCCTCTTTCTCTCTCCTACCCTAGTACGACCCTCCTCTTCTCATTTTCTCCTCCACCCCCGTCTTTATCCTTCTATCTCTGTCTCCCTGATCCCCGAATTCCGGAGTAGAGGCCGGTTAATAATGCAAGGTCCATTTTCCACCCACCTGACGCGCCGAAATGCCCTTCTTCTCTTTCTGCCCATTCACCAAGGAATGAATGTTTTGCGCGAGAACGAATCGATTCGCGACAATAACAACAACAACAACAACAACAACAACAACAACTAATTCATTCTTATTATATACACGCGATTAATTTTAAGGGAATCGTAAGGGGAGGAAAGTTCGATTACGGTCGACGAAACTCGGGGCCGACTGTAATCCTCGGTCGTGTCGGTATTAATTAGCGAGATGGTGACCAATCTCCCTCACCCATTAACAGGTTATTAGTATTCCACCCGCTACATTGGTCAACGACAGGTCGATTTAGCGGGCAAGGGAGACGGTAACGTTTAACGTGCGTTGCCTCGACGCAGTGTGCGATCATCCGTGATCGTTCCCCGATATCTCTACGACGCATATCATACACCGACACTTTCCGTTTTCGTAAATTTAATTTGCGAGAAAGAATAACGCGTAGCGAACCGGGTGGGCTGGTATCGATAACGATAGGTTAGATGATCCTATTATTAATCTAAACTGCGTGTAAATAATTGAAACGGCTTAATGGGGAGGGAGAATTATGCGAAGAGAAGTAGAAGCATAATTCCCGGGTGAGTTGGAAGTAAATGGGAGTATACGCGCACGGTGTCGGGCATCGAATATAGCGACCGTGTTCCTAAAGGATTCGTTTGGTGTACGTGCGTGAATAAAGGAAGACTAATCTGTCTGATTACAAAGCATGAGGTTGCAAATGCCTCCTTCGTCGACTCCTTTTACGAATAGATGGCCAACTATCAAGGTAAATGGATTGCGCGGCCAACTTTCGAAAATCGAAAATCGCCTTCCCTCGATTTTATACAAATTCAAACAACGAATGTGCAAAGAAATTCTTTGCTGCGAGCGACGAATTCCACCTCCGTTCCGTTCTTCTCGCGAGAGAAAGATTTTTACGACTTGCAACGTCCCTGGGGAGAGAATTCTACGCTCTTTCCTTCGTTTAGCAGCTTTCGTTGGATTTTACGAAGCGCTTCTCGGTTGCTCTCGAGTTGAAAGCATTCTTCAATTATTCACTTACGTGTACTTAGTCACGCGTGAGCGAGTCCAGTGTAGCAACAACAGACGAACTTACGCCGGGATTATCAACGAATCTCCTCCGTTAAAAACGGGTCGCTGAAAACGTTATCAACCGCGCCACATCCATTCCTTTCCCCGTATCGAGGAGGAAAAAGGAAGAACGCGATTATGGATAATCGTTGACGACGATTAAAACAAAAATATTCGGCGAATGTAGATTGGATGGAAAGCAGTGGTGAAAACAGAGACCGGAAGAAGGAGTAGAGCTAGAGCTCGATTAATGGATGGAACATGGAGTGTTTCCCCCGTGCTCCAGTTATTTATGGGATGTATGGGGTAGCGAAGCGCCACGTGGATCTATTGTCGAGAGATTTGTCACGGTGCACGTTCGAGAAGAGGGTATCATCATCGGGAATCTCGGTTGTGTCAATAGGAGCGCGGTAAGAGCACGACTCCACCGAGTCGTGTTTCGCTCTCTTCCTTCGTTTCGCCGCTATTAATTTCATTCGTAAATCGGTGATTTCTTACCGTTTCGAGTATCCTGGCCCGTCGACGTGGGGATATTCGTCACGGATATCGGCTCCCCGTATCCTCTGTCCGCCGGTTCCTCCTTCACCGCTACGTTCTTCGTGGTTTCGCTCGTCCGCGAATTCATCTTGCTATTTCTGTTCCAACGTTGCATTTATATTTTTAATTCAAATGCAAATTTCTCTTATCCGAATTGGTACTCGCTTACCCAAAACAATTATTCCGATTCTCAGGATCGAGGTCGAGGAAGGTGCTGCTCTGCGGATGGTTCACCGATTGATACTGCGAGTAATTAGTATCGTTGATTCTTCCGCAGTTGGCCGATTCCTGCTTGACGCTCGCGTCTGTGGAAAAGAAGAATGCGACGTACGCGTTTGAAACGCACGAATCGACGAAAAATTCTCGATGATAAACGTGTGAAAACATGTTGTTCAGGAATCGATAGGAATAGATTTAAATGGAAAAATATAATTCTCGAAGAGGGATCCCCCCTTCGTGGATGTACAGATGAACGGTGAATGATTTTAACGATCGAACGAGGATCGTTTCTTGGGACGAAGATCGGCGGGGTGAGGGAGGGGGACACAAGGGCGCGTGTCCTGGCGGAAGCTAAGGCGCATCGTTGCAGCGGCACGTGGGGGTGGATTCGCTTCCTAATGGGGCCGTCGACGATTTTGCGCGGCCGAGGGTGCGCCCTCGATAAATCAAACAGACTCTGGCCGTGGGAAGCATAAGTCAGAGGCCTCCGGCAATCATTGTATTTGCAAACATCGGAAGTTTACTCGCTACGGGAGAACCACCGACTCGACGCTGGTACGAAAGAATCGGTACTGTTTCGAGCGTCTCGTTTTCATTGAAAAAAAAAAAAAAAAATCGGAGATCGAATGCTATCCGAATTTTGGAAATTTTCCAATCTAACGATCGAATTCGCGAACAATTTTCGCCACGATTTTTCTTATTATCGATAACGATAACAACGCGCGAACTTTCTATGTCTCTTCTATGTTCGACGGACGTATATAATCAGAGTGGAGAGAAAACACGCGTGCGAGCGTTATTTTCTTTTTTTTTTTTTTCCTCGATGTTACACTAATATACCGGGTGCAACAACATCCGGTATATTACGATATATATCTGGAATAAAAGTTTATCTGGTAAATCCAAACCCGTCGACCGGTCTGTTTATCTCGAATCGGGGTTCTCCCTTTGATTGTTTGCATTCGTATTACGCGTGCAAACGGAACCGGTTAGTTCTCGTTCCGTGTCGAGCAACGAAATGATGAAAATTAACGGGGATAAGGGATAAATTTGGCATTATGTATCGCGAGGATTATACGTCACGTTACAATTCGAGCGATAACAATGGGAATTACCAAAGGAATTTCACCAATTTCGTTCAACAGGCGTGTTGATTCGGATAAAGATCGGGTTATCCGAAACGGTTAATCGCGCGTAAAATTTTCCTTATCGAAAATTTGATAGACGCGCGAGGATAGAGAAGAGCACGTGCACGCGGCGTATAGATAAGCATATAGACATTATCCGTCGTTCCCTCTGGCCGTTTGCTCCTCTATTCTATACGCGTATCGAAATATTTGCCAGATTTTCGTACACGCGCCAGATTCGAGAGAAATTTTCTTAAGAACGTCTCGTGAGAACGTTAACGAATCGATTTCTTCGATGAAGAGGAAGTTTTTTC